CTTTCATGGAGTTTATAAACCACGTAAATTTCTTTTTTCTGTACCGCCAGCCAGAGCTATTTTCCGTTTGTTAATTAAAGCTTTGTCTACAGCAAAGTGACGGCTATAGCGTTGAATCTGCTGTTTCCTTTCAATAAAGACGTTATTTATGTATTACTTCTGAAGGAAGATGACTGAAGCGATAGTTGGTAGGCAGGAATCGCTGCTAGTGCTCGTCAGTCTAAAAATAATTCGGGTACACCTCACAGCACAGCAATCTAGCGTAAAACACCATGCAAGGCATCTTCCTAAGAAAAAAGCGAAAGGACGCATTAAAAGGTGCTGCATTAACAGTGTAGAATACGGCGAAGAACCTAATTCCCTAACCCATTTGGCAGAATACCACTTTAAAGTGGAAACTATGTTCTTTGCAGCAGCCGTTTTTACCATCAAACAGTCATGGGAAGTGAAGATGATAATGAATGATAGGCGAGTGACAGGACCAGGGTTGGACCTCTCGATTTTTAATTCAACATTCTACGGTATGAATGACCCAGTATTAGTAAAATACATGATTCCAAAGCTTTGCTTCAGGAGAACCGATTTTCAATTTGATTGTGAAAAGCAAGATGAACAAACGATATACGAATGCGTTTTTTTCGGCAGTAGTTCATTCTCTCCTTCGATGTATATCATAGGTGTAGTGTATTAAAGCTTTGTGTGAAGACCAAACTGGAATGAATGAAGATTGAGATTAAATTTTGGTTATTCACTTACAGTAAAGTTGTTATTCTAAGTACAGAGTGATGTTTTCATGCTAAAGGGTTACATGGCAACGTTGAATAAAGTATACCTTAAAGTGGACTCTAATTGCAGAGCTACGTATGTCTGAAGTTATGGCAAGGCGATCGATGCAACAGGCTATTTCATCAAGTGTGGTACAGTCTTTCGTAAATCCGCGAAATGTAAATTGCTGTTTTTCCACCAATCAACTGTTGTTCACTTATATGTTTCACCAGGGTCTTGAGTTCTTTCATGCAAGTTTCCGCAGTGGGTCGCTAATCATCCGGTTTAGTTTGCATTCGTATCTTTGACACACCAGTGATTCTCGCTATATGTCAACAGTCTGGGGTGGTTTTGGAGTTGAGGTAACGGTAATACAAGTTCTGTTAAAGAACACTAGAGAGTTCGTTTTTGCGTAACACAAAGACTCCTCCTGTTACTCCACCAGAGCCAGCGACACAGTTGGTCTTTAGAGAAGTCAGACAGCGTTTTACCATAGCTTCGCTGTAACCGACAGGTTCCTCAGTGTTTGTAAGAAGTCAGTAGTTCTAAATATAATGAACTTGCCTCTCCAGAGTCAAACTAAAATGCCTTCGCAACTTATTAATGTTTTCTGCATTTGGAGATCTTTTTAAAAATTATAGCCATTGAAATGGCGGGGAGCTGACCAGAGATCCTTGGACCTTTTGTAAGTCAATAGGTTCTTCGTATAAACTTCAGATGTTCAGGATTTTCTTTCGAATCCGACTTCGAAACTTTTTATACTTGATTAAATCTCGGAACCGTATGCAGCTTCCATCTGACGAAAGTCGCTTAAGAGCATATGTAGTGTCAAATTTGGGGGTGATCATCACCTTGGGCAGCATCTATCGCGTGCGAAATCCATGTAGTTACTGATTGCTTGTGCCAGTTGATCCAAAGAGCTGCAGTCGAATTATGACCATAGGTACGGGGACTCAAAATTTTTCATTTTCTTGATTTCTTCTGGACAGAATAGCTGCAGTATAATGCGGCATATTTAGTTTACTGAAAGGAAGGCAATAATAGTGAACAAACTAACGAGCGAATGAAAGAAATGATGAACGAACGAACAAGAGATAAAGTTGCCTGTTAGTGAAAGGATGAATCTGATGTGCTCGATTTATGGTTTCAGTTCATCCGCGTTCATTTGATAGCTCGATTAATTATAGCAATGTGTAAACGGTGAATTATATCTTCTGCTAGCTTCCCAACATAAGGTGTACCAGCTTCTGAAACGTCGTTCGTAATGAACGTGAGATGGCTCTAGCGAATAAGATGATCCGAGACTCCTCTGGCTCCTCAGGTGCTCAAATACCATAAAGCTGAGCCAGCTTAAATCGCCTCAGGTAACTAGAATTTTGAAGGTGGTGCAGTGCGCCATGAAATCTGGTCTTGGAGGAATTATGCGTTATGTGCTATATTCCTTAGTTATAGATTGGAATTTTTCAGCGATTTTAGGCAACATTAAAATTGTCTGTGTGTGTAGTTTTCAAGGTTGTTATCATTCAAACGTGTTTATCGGTATCATATTTTAATGGCGATGAAAAATCCAAGACCATCGTTGAGTTCGTGAGGTTGTAGATCTGTCGAGGAGTTAGCATTGCGGCATGTAACTGGTGCGAAACGATGGATTTGATCAGGAAAGCCAGCGCCAAAGCCAGCGAGCTTCATCACCGCAGCATGTCGTTTTGTGCCCAGACCCTTCAGTGGAGGTTATCGACCGCGTCATGTATTTACGTGATCATAGCGAACTCACTATACTGGTACCTAGCTTGGTTTAAAACTAAAAACGAGCGCAAGTAAATGCTTGTTTTCTAGGACTTTCGTATTTTGTGCTGACATGTACTATCAACGGTGGCTGCTTGATGCGCTGACGATGTTCCTTACTTCCGAACTGCTTATCATCCCCTTGTTTTCAGGTATATGTAGTTTAGTCTCTACGTGTTAAATAATCACTTCATTTATAGTTTACCATCCACTGTTGAAATTGTTGGATTATAGACGGTAAAGGCTTTTAGTTTTTTAAAATTAGTTAAAAAATTTATTTCTTAATCAAAGTCTTTATGCTGTTTCGCTGCTTTCTCTCTAATCTCCCGTAGAAGCTCAGTCAGACCAGCACTCAGTCAGAGTGCAATGAACTATTGTATAACATCGCTGCGATCAGCATAGTCAATTTCCATGACTGTTTGCCCTTTCAGGTCTCGAAAACAGGCGCGTCAGATAGTGATTCCATTATGCCAGGGTCTGAGCTTCGGCAGAAGACAACTGGAGTCTGAAACAGACTCCTTCCATATTTTTGCACCAGGTTAATCTTGGCAGTTCCCTAGGCCTTCTGCCGGTCGACTCTGCAAGCAATAGTTGTCTCGCCTCACAGGTATTCGCAACACATGTCCAAACCATCGCATCTGTGACTTCTCAATCTGAAGAAACAGAAGCTGTACACCGAGGCTGTCGCAGGCATCTGCTTGTATTCCGTACCATGTTGAGACGCGTAAGGCCAGCGACTCGTCTCTGAAAATCCATTTCAGCCGCATGTACCTGGGTCGAAGTTTTTCAGTCATGGCCCACGACTTATGACCATAGGTGAGCATTGGAATAATATAATGGCATTGCGCCGTCGGTCACCTTCTTTCCAAGCGGATAGTGATTTCGTTGCTGCCTGATATTTTTACTGTCGTTTTCATTGATCTTTAGTAGTTGTTGTCGTGCTGCTACACCTGTGGCTGCCAGAAGGTGTTAAGCAGGTTCTGCAAACAAGCTGAAGCCGGAATTATACATTTAATGAACTGTATATTCAACGATAATTACACTGAGAAGATTAAAGCTCTAAAATAGGATACAGGAACATATGATGTGCATAAACAGAGGAGAAAAAATTGCTTTATCTTACCAAAGTATGGCATACTGGAAGACATGTCATAGCATGGGGCACTTATAAAATAACTCGAAAACGAACTAGCTGGATGAAAGCTGAAGATTGTGGGAGCAGCCAAAACCGAACAGGTAGTAAAGCTAGCTGATATGAAGAAACCCACACGCTTAGCTCAACATGGCCTAAGTTTCTTTTCCAATAATGTTTGAAGATTGAATATTTCGTTTATGCGTTGATGGTCATTTTGTAAACAGCGTAAATGCGGTTTTGTTTCGTCGTGAGTCGCTGTTCGCGGCGCTCTTTGTTTTCCAGGAGAGTAGTGGCACGGCGGCATGAGGTCAGCAATGAATTTCCTGCATTGAAAGACAACGTTTTTCTTATCTGTGAATTCGCTTGAGCAAGAAATTAACCCCATACTGCTTCGGAGAAATGAGTAGTTATTCGTCTACTTGCGAACGGTAGGAACAGAATGATATTCTAAATAAGGTTGGAGGTTTTTGTTTTTGATACGGTGTATGTAGCGAAGAGTGTTGACAATAAAGCTTTTATCATCTGCTGCATTTGGTGCCCTGAACCATGAAACGTTGAACCTCCTGTTTATGTAACAGCATGATATTTTGCTGTGATAATACCGGAATGGACAAAGTATACGGCCATGCTGTCTGATGTGAGCGCCCATTTTGGCTGCCTTTCGCCTTGACTATCCTGATGGCTGACAACCCAGCGTAATCATCAGCACAAGGTGTAAACCACAGTTTATTTTTGCACAACACAGACAGTATGGTTAATCGGATGATTACTTGAACTGACTTTTTTTGAACCTTCGAACCGACAGGCCTTTTTCAAGGTAAGGACCTGGTTGAGTTTCAGAAGTCTTTCTTATTGTCCACAAGGGCTGATACGCCTGAAGCCAGATGGCTCCCTGGTCATTCGCCATAATACCTATTAATGTTTAATTTTATTTCTGAGCTCCTGTGATTCACCTCTGTTTGTGTCTACACAAAGGCTCGCATTATTAGTTTATATCTGTTTATAATTCTACCTATGCAAATAATAACGGCCGGTTACGCTAACAAGAGTTATATTCTTCGTTCCGTATCTGTCTGCTTCTTGAGGAGTGTCACTTTGTATTTTTTTGCAACGTTTGTGCAGTAGCAACCTGTATAACGTGCCTTTGTGCATTGTTTCTGATTTGTCAAATTACGATGTTCAGTTACTTTCTAGGCCTGAAGGGGCAGTAAAAGAAAGACCAGCTTCTGAATATTCCAATTCCCGTTCCCTTTTAAAGCAGGTCTTCAGGGTAATCATCATGGCTCCGTTCAACAATTTGATCTGTCCGCTGCTACGGTTAGTTCAGTATATCATTTCGAACAAAACCGTGAAAGTGAGTGACCCCTTTGGCATGCTGTTAGATGTAGATAGGTTACCTGTTGTTTCAGGTGTTTATTCTGGCCGCCTGCTTCGAAATAAAGATACTGATCGCCCGTTTTGAAGAAGACAAAGCGTGTTTGCTCGCTTATGCTGCAGGTATCTGCCATCTTTATTTTGCGCCTGCGTTACGTTTTCATTTATGAAAGGTTTTTATTTGAAAATTCACAGTGATCAATAATATAAATTCGAATTTTCGTGAAATTAAATATTCTAGATGTCACTAACAGGTGAATAATGCAATAGTTTTACATACATTTTACTTCTAAAGATTGGACGTTTTCTTATCCAAGAAAAGACCTTAGTGTTTCAAACCGAAATTTTTCGATCAGTGTGCTTACAAAGCTATTCATATATTATAGACTTTGCAGTGCAGCGTTGAAAGTTATATTTTGGAATAGGAAGATAGGATAGAAAAATGAAAATAAATGGGTAACTAGGGTCTGCGATGTCGTTCACCGATTGAACCAGTTAACTGGCATGGGAAGGGACATACTGTACGAAGAACCGTCCGCCGCTGGACTGGAAAAACATTAAAATGGATTCAAGGGTACAGTATGTGGCCTGTGGGACGACCTACAGCTAAAGTATATAAGTTCGTTGGATCAATATCGCATATAAGAATCGCAGAAACCAGATATGTATGGAAATGCATTGGAAAGACTTTCATTCTGCAGTGGATAGAAAATCTGCTGATGATGAAATTGTAACGAAAGTTATAACTGCGCTGGAATAAATACAGAGGTTGTAACTATTACTTTTAAGCATATTTGACAAATATTGGATTTTCGCTTTACATATGGAGGGACGATTGCATTGAGACTTAGTTTTTTTTACTCTCGCCCTTGGTGATCATAATATCAGTCAAGTTCAAGCGAAAATTGCAGAATTAGATGTATGAAACAATATAATTGTCGTTATATAAATTTCAGTATAATTTTTTGCTTATATTGGAACTGTTTCTAACATGAAATATGTTTTTTTTTGTTTCATG